TTATTATTATTATTTATTATATTCTTCTTATTTTCTCCCCTGGTCCTTTATACTCCTGCTGTGAATGAAACCATCTGGTATTTTTCCCTTTCTTTCTGGCTTATTTCACTAAGCACGGTCCCTTCCAGTTCCATCCATGTTGCTTCAAAAGACATGTTTATCTTTTTGATTGCCGAGTAATATTCCATTGTGTGCATGCACATCTTTTTAATCCAATCATCTACTTTTGGGCATTTGAGTTGATTCCATGTCTATCCTATTATAAATAAAACAGAGACACATCCTAACTTTTAACTGGTTTACAGGCAATTCATACAAGTCATTCTGCATAACCACTTTGCCAAAAGTTCATCTTGGAGGCTGGCGGGCTAGCAGCAGTGCTTGAAACATGGTCTACAGCTCCTTTCCAGGTGTTAGGGTCTGGTTATTTTAGGATCTTATGTTTTTAAGCTAAAACTCTTTGGGCAAGTCCACATGCCTTGGTTACCCATTCACCTTATCTCGGAACAAAACCAAAATAATCCTGAAACTTTTGGCCAACAGTGGGGTCTTCTCTGAGCAAGGGGATTTTACCTCAAATGTTCTGGATAAGCTTCCACAAAACACATTCATCCTTCCCCCAGCTTCACTACGTATCAGGCTGAGTTCCCACAACTTTCTCTCTCAAAGCTGGAGTCAGTGCACTGTTACTTCTACTCAATGAGCTTATTTTGATCACATTTTGATTGTGCTCATGAAAAGGTCTTGGCATAAAGTAGCTGCTAGAATGCTTAACATCAACATTAAGCTATAGAATCACTTTGCTATCTTTGTCTCTTTGCCTCACTTTAAATTTACAGAAAGCTGTTAGAATTTACATACTTTTTTAAGTTACCAGATTCTGTCTAGTAACAAAATAGCTCAGAAACTAATATTCAACCTTATTTTCATGGACTAAAATCTTAATTCTTAGAATGTAAAGCTAAAAAGAACTTCAAAATATTCCAGACCCATCAACAATTTTAGAGTAAAAAGATTGAGGCCCAGGGAGTCGGGGTATCTTCATCAGGGTCACAATGCTTCAAAATAGCAGAACTAGAACTTCAAAAATTGGTCTTTTGAACCAAAGCCAGTGATTCTCATACACCCACTGCGCTACTACCAGCAGCACCTCGTGTCAGTGCACCATCAAGCCAAACTGTTTCTTATTCTGTCTTCCTCATTCCCAGCCAAATTCTTGGTTACCTTTTAGATAGACCATCTCTACACCATACATGTTTAACATAACCATGTTCAAATTAAATACAAGTTGGTCTCAAAATGTAATGTGAAGCTAGCACACAGCAACCAAACATTTCAATATCAATGGATTTCAGTTTGTTTTTCAAACGTAGAACCTCCCACTCATATCCCTTGAGGGTAGAGACCCCAGGGCACTTCCCTTCTTTTAAGATATTGATGACAGTAAACCAAATATAAATCAGCTTCTATTTTCATGAAAATCTTTTTTTTTTTTTTTAACAAAACCATGGTGTGGCTGACACAAAAGGATGAAACTGAATGATCTCACTTGCTATCTAAGTGGTCAATTTTATAAAGTCAGAAAGTAGAATGCTGCTTACCAGGGGCTGGGAGGAGGGGGAGAGGGGAATGGTTTCATGGCTACAGAACCCCATGTGGGAAGATGAAGTTCTGGAGATGCCTGGAGGTCAGGAGAGGCTGCGCAGCAATGGGAATATTCTTAACGCGCTCAACTGCCCCTTAAAGTGATGCAAGTGCTGAATTTTATGTTACTTACATTTTACCACAAACAATAAAACAAAAAAATAGAATTGGAAATGTACTTTCATGCTTCCGGGGATAAAATGATCAAAGCACATTGTTTTAAAAGTAATATAAAAGATATTTGCGTGTTCAGTTCCCACTCTGATTAAAACAACAACACTGCCAAACAGTCGCTCTTGGAGGTGTGCAGCCATGCTGAGCGGGGAAGGTGTGGAAGGGCGAAGGGCTCTTACCCTCCACCGCCCTCTCTATCCGGCACAGCCGCAGAGCAGATGACAGCCTGTGGTGGTCCAGCCAAGCAGAGGTGTGAAGACATTTCTGTAAAGTCAGACATACTGCAAATGGCAGAATAGAACTTGCCTGCCTTTTGGCTACGAAAAAAGCAAGTACTAGTATGAACAAAAGATAAAACATCCTGGACTTAAATGTACAACAAAGCAAAGTAAGAGCTTTTCACCCTACTTCAAAAATTTTAAAGTAACTGACAGTTAAGTTTCTTTCACTCTTCAAATTGAATATGAGGAGAGCAATGCTGAAAGAGAACCAACTACAGAGAATAAACTTGCTGGTTTTGACTTCCGAATATCGTATTTAAAAGCATAGCCCCTTTAAATGTTATTTCTGTTTGATCAGAACCATAAAACATCACAACTAGAAGAAAAATTTAGTCTAGGTCTGGGCAGTGCTGATGGATATGAGAGGAAGTATTTTGTACGTAGCTGGAAGCGGAGGATAAGGCCAGACCCCTCCAAGTTTGTAAACTTGTGAGCATTTGCCAGACCTTTATCCTACACGAGCAAGAAAGAACAGGTAGAAGAGGTAACTTTTTGCATTTTGTTATGTGCTTCGGGAATCTTATTACAAAATAAGCCCCCCTCAGTAAAAATGCCCAAATAACCCTAAGAAATATGGTGGGGGGGGAGGCATGTGGCAGGGGTACAAAAAGATAAACCACGCAGTACAGAACTGAACATTCTAGCTGCCACAGAACGTGGCTGGATGGTGCGTCTCAGCAGCGTGTTCACTCATATTGACTATTTCTGCTACCTTGATTCTTACCAGATTTCAGGAAAACGGGAGCATTAAGTACACAATGACTTCTGTATTTGTTTCCTCAACCATTCCTAACTACTCCTTCCAAAGTGTTTTTAAAAAGGCTCTTTGTTTAGAGACTGTTAGCTCTGTTCTTTATCCAGTGAATGTTCACGTTATTACAAATTTTTACCTGTCACATGACTTTCTTTTACCTTCACTGAGGTGTGGGTCTCTTCATTTTCCTGCATAAATGATGCAGTAAAATAAACATTTTTTTGGAAACACCACATTTCTTGTTTTGTCTTAATTCTGCATAGAAACTAAAGTTAAGTCTCACTTTAACACTGACAATAGTTCTTGGAAATGACTGATTTTAAGCAAAATGACGTATACAAAGAAACCAGGTCTTCAAAAAATGTCATTTCATTCAGCACCAACCATGATTTTTTTCCTTCTCATCAACATTAACATTATTCAAGAAACTTGTACTGAGTCTAAAATGCAGGAGTGTTTTTTGATCAAACAGTCCTCATACTAATTTTTATTTTTTGATAGAAGGCACCTTAAATAATACACCAACGATGCCTCTTTCTACTGGCAAATAAGAAACTCACTAGTTATGCTCAAGTCTTCTGTAACTTGTGCTGATCCTAATATTGGCCCTATTCAATTGTCCCAGGAGTGCTGGCCCAGGTCAGGTGCAGAAGCAGCCTGTGAGGCATTTATTTAAAAGTACACATGCCTGGGACCTGTCTGCAACAATCTCGCATGGTAGGTTAGCCAGGAAAACTATGTTAGTATGCAACTCCAGAGAAATACCGCTGTATGATATTCCTTATTATCTCTTATTCCGAAAACACTCGAGTCAGGCCAGGTGTATGTAGGCCTTACAGGAGAATGGGGGGAAGGAGCTGGCTGGGAGGAGGGGGTGGCTAGGGGGAGGAAGGAGACTCTCTTCCATTGGTTCTGAAGTATGCTCTCCTCAGCAGAGGCAACTCAAAATGTAATGAGAAAATGGGGGTGGACGGATAAAGGAAAGGCTTAAAACCAAAACAGTAACAAAGATAGTGACCACATCCTGGAAACTAGTTCTCCCATTCCTCACTTAAATCTTTCACTTTATAACTGAGAGCAAGATCAACTTCTGATTTCAGGCCTCTTGCTTGGCAGGCTGGTTTTCTCCTGGGCTGGGCTGCCATAAGCTATGTGGAGAACCATGACTTGTCCGGATCAGAGCTCCGATTTGTACCGTGAAGCCAAAAAGTGGAATGGCAGTTACCTGACAGTGCTGGGAAATGGAGCTAACTGAAGAGACAATACAACATGAGACATTTCACAGGCAGTAAGGGGAACGGGAATCAGTGCCGCAGTTGAGTAGAGGATTGTGCCTTTTAACAACTAAAAGGGAGGAAAAAAATCAACTGGAGGCATGTCCTTAATTGGCATCAGGCACTAACTTTACCATGCATGTAGCTGTCAAAATAGCAAGGGATAAGGAAACAGGAAACTGCAGAACTATACTAAGTAAATGGATACAGACACGAAGTAGCCAGTCAGACCAGGCAAGCAATGTCAAAAGAAAGTCACAGCTACAAACCAGAAAACATTGGTCAGGATATAACAATGTAAGGCAGACAAATGAATTAGAAGAACCAGCAGTTAGTTTTTAAGTACTCCAAAATGAGCATATAATAATATACAAGTGGAATACATTAACAGAATGAAAACCAAACAGCAAGAGAAACAGCCCCCCCCAACAATTTGGTCCATCTATTCTTAGAAAGCAGCACCTTATAAAAAAGTAACAATTCATAAGTGAAAAAAGAAAGTAAAATACACACTGAACTGGAGATTTAGAATTCAAACTACCCAAGATGAAACTGTCATATCAAGATTCACTTATGAATAACTGAGAAGTCCTGGAATTTTCATGTCAGGAGGTGAAAATCTATTGCAAAACTAATTTTATAAAGTAAGGGAAGAGAGAACATTAAGGAGAGTATTTCCTCCTTACTCAGAGCTCCATGATGGCAAGTCTACTGTTCAAGGTTTTAATGAGGTGGAGAAGGTGTGACTGTCAAAGCTATAGTTGCATTCTTTCCTGCTAAGGCCTTTAAAGTTCTTTATTCATTAAATTTTCATTTTCTTAGATGGTCCAAAGCCTGGCCTGCATTCTGAAACATGATCCATCACAAATCTCCAGCATTCTCCACAGACAAGATATAAGGTAAAGTTCAGTTCTTTGATAACAAGTATCAGTCACTTTTCTCCAGAGTAGTACAGATTCTGGATCGGCTATAAGAAAAGATCTTTTATTTCAAAGTACAAATTTAGTGATTTACAAGGCTGATAATCTGAGTCACCTTTTTTTTAACGTATAGATTGCCAGCACTAGCAAAGAAAAGTCCCTATCTGAGACAGATCTAGATGATTCTGATATAAGGCATATTTGAAAACCACTGACTTGTGTTCCTGTGTCCTCACAGAATGTGCATTTACGTAAATAATTTATAATGATGGAGTAGAAGTGGTCTTCATGTAAATATAGAACAAGTTTAAACGGTGTAGAGGCATAAAAATGGAGAACTGTTTTTGATTAACAGAAGGGCAAAAAAAAAAAAGAACATATCAAACATATCAGACATATTCAAAGGAAAATACAAAATGCATCTCAAAGTGAAATGAACTTTCCTGGATTATCTGTTCTTTCAAGTTATCGGTGAGACCATCCCGTTAACGCCCAGACTATAGAAATAAACATCCCACCAGTTCTCATTTCCAGATGATCCTGTATTGTAACAGAATACAATAAGGAAAAGACCGATTCAAAATGAACAAGTATCAGCAACCTTATTACACTGTGGTCACAAGCCAATCACCAGCTGAAAATGGTAATTTTTTTTTCAGATCAACTTTTCCCAACACCTAAAGAAAAAAATTGTTAGATAATACAGTTATATAGCCTGCATAGTTCAACTTTTCCAAAAAGAATAAGGAAAAAAAAACTACTAATGAAGGCACTGAAGTGCTGTGGCTTGCTTTCTGAGCAACTGTGATGACCACTAACCTTTTTTGCTTTATTTTGTTCGAACTAGTCAAAGGTCACATCAAAAGATGAAGTAGCATCCAATCCAAAAAGACTGGACCCCAAAAGGCACTGGTCAAACTACTGATCTGGAAAGCTCCAAATGCATTCTCTTCATTTGCCTTCCCCCAATGGATCACTCAATATTCAGTGACATTTGCTATACATTGTACAAAAGGACCTGCAGGCTGTGATGACCAGAGCTTGCCACAAAACCAAACTGTAAATCTGGAAAATGATGACTATATATCACTTACACAGATATGACATATGACCTGCAGTCAGGCCAGGATTCAGCAATACTATCACACCAAGACTAGACTTTTAGGAGACCTACCCATACCCATTCTCAGACAAAGGCCAAAGCACAGTCAGCAGGGGCAAAAAGAAACAATCTTTCCAGAAAGGACTAGATACACGCAGGAGCAACCCTGGGCTCTTTACTCACCATTTTAATACTGCTGCCAAACTCTAACAGCTTAAATCTGTACACACAACAAAGTGGAAAAATGTCCCAAAATGCAATTGTTTCGGCAAAAGAAGTACTAAGGGTTACTACAATTAACATTGCTACAATGAAAAACAATGGCAAACAGGGATTTGGCACCACGTTTACAAAGTAAAAGCATGCACTGTTAATACACTTCAGATGTTTCCCAACAGAAAAGGCCACGAAGATGGAAAACAAGGGGCATCTTTTACAAACTCCTATGACTGAGACAAACAAGCAAGAATTGAAGTGGCCAATTCAGTAGCTACGTAGCAGCAAAGTCACTGATTCTGTTTGGGACTTGGCCATTTGCCTTTCTGATTGGCAGCTGCCCTGGGTGTGTCTGTATTCAAGAAGCTGACTGTATCATAAAATATCGGCATTAATCTAGTAATTTGGTAATCAGCATAAACAAAGTTTTCAACCTTAAGCTTAAAAAACAGAGAGTTTATTACAAACTCTCCAATGTAAATACCATTTAAAAACATAATAGGTACTCAAACAGGATAGTAACAAATTTCTTCCAGAAAAAGAGCTATAATTATAGTCCCGAAAACTGTAAAGAATTAAACAATTATGGAAATACTAAGTCTGACCGTACCAACAATTAAAAACCAAGAGTTCCTACTAAGAGGAATATTTTCAAAATGATATGGTCACATCACACCGTTAAGACTGTTTGTTTTAATAAAGATTCCTTTCCAAAGAAATAAAATTTAGTAAAGTTATTCTTCTCTTGATAAAAAAAAACAACAACAAACCTTAAAAATGAACTACTGGTGATTTAAGAAGGAAAAAAGAGTAAGCTACATATTAAGTTCCAGAATGCAGCACCTCAACTCCACATCTGGCCTAAACATTTGATATTACGAAATCCAAGGGATGTCCTGCTGATCGAATCATACTTTACAGCTGTTTCAATTCCAATGTCTGACGTTAGCATCGTGTCAATTTAGAGTCCCCTAGATACAGAAGGCTGAGCGGAAGAGCGCCAAGATGCTGCACGCTGCCGCCATTCCCTGGTCCCATTCATGCTTGTAGCTGCCCCTGAGACAGCAAAAGAAGTCTGGTCTCAACACTCCACACTGCAGTAACTAGAAAAGAAGAACATTTCCAATGAGAACAAGTCCACAAAGTCAAGAGACATCACTACAGCACTGTAACAACACTGTCCCAAGTTTCACCTTTTATACACATCCACACTCTTCAATAAAGTCCACATTCTTTTAAGTTGTTTTTAATGATGACATCTGTAACAGCATCAAAAACAAACTGCACATTCTTGGTATCTGTGGCACAAGTGAAGTGGGTGTAGATCTCCTTGGTGTCTTTTCTTCTGTTCAGATCTTCAAACTGGCACTGAATGTAAGCAGCTGCTTCCTCGTATGTATTGGAACCTGAAATAGATAGTTAATATTCTCAGGTCAAATTGTAACGACTACCTGGACCCAACTAAGACAAGCCACCATGTTTACCTATAAACAAAGGGACTATGACCCAATGAAACATCCAATATCCATAACCATTAGATATCACCAGTAGATTTTTGAAAGCAGACTCTCATTCTAAGCAAAATGAAGCTATCACATAAAATGATCCAGAAAAACACAACTTTAGGTTTCTCTTTGCTCTGTCATCTAGATTTTTCAGATGAAAAGCATACAAGGAAAAACTAGGGTTGGAGGAGGCTGATTATTTAAAAGGTCAAAAGCTCTGTGTTCTTTGGCGTGATCTAGAACTAAACAATCCAAAAGATTAAATCATATGTTGTCAAAAAATCATTCTAGTAGCCTTCTGGCAATAATTATTAAATGACTAAAGGTAAACTAACATATACAAAATGGAAAGGGACCTGAACTATGTACTTCTTAAATGGTGAATTTTATGGCATATGGCATATGCAGTAAGTTGTTTTTAAGGGGAGGGAGAACCATAAGTAAACTCCATCTGCAACAACATTTGTAACAAATATTCTTGATCACTTCCTGTATCATCTACTTTCTAAGTCTTCACAATAATCTAGAATCTGACTGCAGAGTCAAGAAAATTAAAAAGGTGGTGGAATAATCTAGAATCTGACTGCAGAGTCAAGAAAATTAAAAAGGTGGTCCTCCCTGGTAGCACAACCACTTAAAAGCACAGCACCATGAAGCTAGCCATAGCTGCTTTAACACGAGCTCGATCCCCAGCCAGGGGGGTGACCCACATGGCACAGCAGACCTCTCCTACTTGCTGCTCCCCTCAACAATGTACTTGGTCCATCTGCCTGTTCTACTCCCCACTCTGTTTCTGGTGAATCCTCTCACTGTCCTGCACCTCTGATCTGTACCCTAGTTCTGTATGCATAAATCTTTTTTTTTTTTGAAAAAAGATTCATGCCTTTGAATATTCTACAATAGTTAAAATGAATTTTAAAATGATTTAAAAAATTAAAAGGGGGCCCTCCCTGGTGGTGCAACGGGTTAAAGCTCAGCACTGCAAGCAAGCCACAGCCATTTCACTGTTAAGTTCGATCCCTGCCCTGGAGGTGACCCACATGGCACAGACCTCTCTTGACCTGTCTGCTGCTCCCCTCAGCAGTGTATTTTGTCATTCTGCCTGTTCTGCTCCCCATTCTATTCTGGTGAATCCCCTCACGGCCCCTGCACCTCTGGTCTGTAACCCTGTTCTGGATGCACAAATAAATAAATCTAAAAAAAAAAAAATTTAAAAAGGACATTATACATTCATTCCTGTGAACTAGAGACTATTTTCATTGAAAAATAGTAAGCGTGGCAAAAAAATACCAAAACGAATACATAAAGGAGACTAACAAAGCAAAACAAAGAAAGAAAAAGATGAAACAAAAATTAAACAGAATAGTTAAAGAACTGGAGGGAGGTATCTCTTTAGACAGGTCAAATAGGTTTCTTAATTTCAGAGTCAGTAAAGTAATGGAGACAGATGATCGACAAACAAATTTTTTCAGGCAGGAAAACAGTTGTCTCCACAAAGAATCCTTGAGAGAGAGAGGATACTGAGAATTCTCTGCAATGCCTGAAGACTCCCAACGAGAATGTTAAAGTCAGTCCTTTTGTCTTGAATAGAACCTTTCTCCCACCCTAAAACATGTCAATTTTCTACATGAGCTCATCAATTCTTACGTTTCTTTTTCCTCTGAACAGATGACCGTCACATTCCCAACTTCCCTGACAAAAGAGGCCACGGGACTTAAGCTACATCTCAACTTCTTGGTCTACCATCTCATTTAAAAGTTACCTGTATCTGAACTAATCTGTACCGCTGGTTCAAAATTCATTGCTCTACCAAGATTTTTTTTTAAAACTGAAGTGAAATTCATGCAGTGTACAATAAACCATTGTGAGTATATAAACCAGTGGCAGTCAGTTAATTCACAATGTTATGTAACCACCACCTACCTTCAATTTCAAAATGTTTTCACCACCCCAATCCTGTCAATAATTGATAACTCCCCATCCTTCATCTCCTGGTAACCATCAACTAGCATGCTTTCTGTCTCGATAAATTTGCCTATTTAGAATATGTCACATAAAACAAATCTCACAAATGTGACCCTCTGAATTTGTATTCTTTCACTCAATTTATGACATTCATTCAAGTTGTAGCAGCTATCAGAACTTTGTTCCTTTTACGGCTAAATAATATTCCAGTGCACGTACAGTCATGCATAATAGGGATATGTTCTCAGAAATGCATTGTTAGGCAATTCTGTCACCATGTGAACATCAAAATTCCTCATGCAAACTAGATGGCACAGCCCATTGTACAGCCAGACTCTGTGGCACAGCCTGTCAGGACAACCTTCAGGCATGCAGCCCACTGCTGACTAGAAAGGTAAGTGACATATAGATACCACATGTACCTCTTCATCATACTAGACTCTTATTAATCCCTCCCCCCATTACTTTTTGTAAGTTCTCTCTTGCCCAACCTATAAACATTCTAAATCTCTCCTTCCCCTGAGATACAAGCTGCTCAGGAGTAGGTTATACCTGTCCATTTCTTCACTTCCTACTCAGTACCCATACCTGGCCCTCCTCTTTACCACTGTGTTTACATGATCTAAGTAGCCATCACCATCTCCTGACTGCTTCCTCCACAGACCACTTGTCAGTGTGCATCTTACTTTACCTGTACGTAACATGTAGACTGCTCCTTACGTTTTAACCTCCATTCTTGGTTTCTGATACAATGGTTCTCCTGTTCTTCTCTTTGTATCCTAGATAAACCTGTCACTAGAGAAGAAAGGTCCTGCCAACAGAGTCTAGTATTTTCTCTCATTTTGTCCATGGTCCTTTAGTCTCGTCTAACCCTAGGCTGTATCATCCATGTTTTATCTAATCAATGTATCTAGTCCCTAACCTCACCCCCCAAGTTCCAGGGTCATATGTATAACTACCTGTATATTACACAATTAAAAATCAGTCTTCCTAATAAACACAAGCTCAGATTACAGCACCACTGCCCAGTGAAGACTCCATTATCGCTGACCCTTCCCGCTTCCTTACCCTAGCCACACCCTTTCACCTTATTATGGAAAACATTCACAGCACTGCTCAACTAGTAAGAATTCCCCTTTCGGGCCCTCCCTGGTGGCACAATGGGTTAAAGTGCAGCACTATGAAGCTGGCCACAGACACTGCAGTTCAGTTTGGTCCCTGGTCACGGAGGTGACCCACATGGCACAGCAGACCTCTCCTGACCAGCCCACTGCTCCCCTCATCAGTATACTTCATTGATCAGCCTGTTCTGCTCCCCACTCTGTCTCTGGTGAACCCTCTCACCACCCCTGCACTTCTGGCCGGTACTCCAGTTCTGGATGCATAAATAAATCTTTAAAAAAATTCCCCTTCCTTGGAAATAGCCAACCCTGATCTAAAGGTCATGGTGATGTAGCCCTTGCAGTCGTGTTTGTGTCCCTGACCTTGAGTGAACGATGAACTGAGCATTTTTGTCGATGAACTGAGCATTTTTGTCGGACTTAACCTGGCCAGGACCTCCTTTAGGAATTCGAGCCCAGGGCCATTTAATCCTAGCCCTGCCTATCTTTTAAATAGAAGAGACACAGAAGCTGTGGCAGTCATCTTTTATCACATAAACTGAATAGCAGAGAAAGCTATTTAGGAAAGACAAGAACAAAGAGATATACAGAGAAGGTGAGGAAGAGGGAAAGAAATGCTTCCAGGGCCCATGACAGCTTCCTATTTCTTCACCCCAAAGATAGTCTTAAAACACGTCTACTTTCTGGACTTTGGTTCCCATCATATAGCTCTGTATCTAGAACAGAAGTTTCTATGCATCCAAGAGAGTCCTTATTAATTCCATTCCCCTATTATCTACCTTTATTGCTATGTACTGTACAATCTGTGTAAAATCTCACATCATGTACCCCAACGAAAAGTCTTCAGTAGCTCCCCAGTGTCTCAGCATGAGACAAGGCTCCCTGTCGCATCCCTGCCCAGCTCTCCAAGCACTCCTTCAGGCCGCTCTCAGGCTCCTGAGTGACAGAACAAATCATGTCCCTTCTTTAATCTCTGGATTTTCATGCATGCTGTTCCCTCTTCCTAAAATGCTTTTATTCATCTGCCTGGGGATTTCTATCTCCTCCTTGCTTCTCTCTACAACTAGATGGCATTTTCTTGAGTACAGTGACTGCACTTCTTGTATTTTCTCAAACATTTTAACCAAAAAAAACTTTCCTATTTCTCTTTATTATCCTCAAAAAGTGAGGACAGAACTACAAAATAGGCACAGTAAACTCAAGTATGCCTGGGATGGCACTTTAGACTGAAAGGGTCTTATGACACGCTCACGCCACCAGAAGGGAACCCTCGCTCTAAGGCACAGCACGCTGTTCAAACACGCACGTGCGGGAGTGTCACTAAAGTGGTGACTTAACAGTTTTCATCTCCAGCAGTCTTCTGTGAGTGCTTACCTGTGTATTCTGGATAACAGATAGTTAATGGACTCCTCTTTATTTTTTCCTCAAAAAGGTCTTTCTTGTTGAGGAAGAGAATAATTGAAGTGTCTGTAAACCATTTGTTGTTACAAATACTATCAAACAGTTTCATGCTTTCGTGCATTCGGTTCTGAAAACGAAAGGAAGGATGATAGGATTAGCAAAAAGTAAAAACGGATTAATAATTAGTGAAAAACAAGACCAATGTTTGAAGGCCTTGAATGGCACTCACGGAAGTGAGCCAGACAGCAATGACAGAAAATCAAGGCCAGCCCTCACTTCTGCGACTTTCTTTAACATTCAGGACCAGCTTATTAGGAAAAGGAGAACAAGAAAGCGAGGCACCTGCACAGTCGCGGGTGCGTGGGAGAGCTGCCTTCCTGCCCTGCAAATGGAATAGGTTTCTGAAAGAAACACTTGCAGGCTCAGGCTGCTAACAAGAGGCCATAGTCATGTCCACATACTCAGTGTATTGTCAACTCTTAAGAGCAATAGGGCATAGATTGTTATTTCGAAAATCTACTCTCACTGACAAGGAGAAAATTAAGAACATTCTATTTTCAGTTCAGTAGCAAGTGGCTGCACAGTCGCCTAAGCATTATTTCCCACTTCGTGGCTGTATTAGTGAGGCCTTTTTACCAAAAACTCCAACATACCATCTCCTCATCCTCAGCCAGAACAAGGTCATAATCACTGAGGGCCACACAGAAGATAATTGCCGTCACTCCCTCGAAACAGTGAATCCATTTTTTTCTCTCTGATCTTTGGCCACCTACGTCAAACATCCTGAGTAAGAAAAGAAAGCACAAATTCAGCAAGGTCATGTATATACCGCTCCCCAAACTGACATGGTTAAGAAACTTCCCACTACTGCATATGCAAAATCTTTTATAATACAACAAAAAAAGTAAGCTCTTTAGTTAACACAGAATAATGGAAAAATACATATGCTCAAAGCACATTTTGCTTTCATAACTTCTCCCTAAATAATTCAGTAATTTGTTTTCCTTACGCTAAGGAAAAGATGTTTTGCAAATTAATTGTGAGAACTGTTTAGAGACGATAAATTATATTTTACAGGAGGATTCCAAGAACTCAGTACCTAAAAACAAAACCACCAATATTTTCCGACCCCCCATTAATAACAACATAACGGAACATGTAAACACACTTCATGTTCACGACAGGTTAGTTTTTTACTCCCCACTCCCGGCTGGGGGGGCTTTCTTGATAGTCTGAGGCAAGTGCTTGGTACTGAGCTTCTGCCAACCGTGTCCTCGTCGACCTCCCACCGCAGAAAGAACCCTTTGTCTTTTTGCTAGTACTGGGTATGACAACATATGCACACAAACAGTTGGATACTCCTAAGTTATCTATTTGATGACAAATGTTTTTGAAAGGCTAAACTCTGCCATTCTAGTTTAGTGTGTCAGATCTACAGTGACCAGTGATCTCAATTTCTAGAGAATTTTTCCCTCCGACACTCAAGAGAAAGAAGACACAGCTGAGTAATTTCTCAATGTGTGTTTAAAAGAGAACAGTCATTTTATCTCTTCATGACCTGACTTTTTCTTTTGGTTGACCTTGCAATTCTTTTCAAACTTTGGTCATGACATCTGGAATGATGCAATCATAATTTGGCTTTAATACAAGATCAAATTATCGGTTCTAGGAACGTGACCATCATCTATTTCATCAGGAAGTCTTTCAGTGGGACACACTGGTATACCAATAGTATCAGTTTACCCCTCTACTTTTCTCTGTAACTTTCATAAAACTGGCAGAATATCATGGGGTTCCCAGGTGGGCTTTTAGCCATATTAACATTTACACTAAGATCAACATTTCATGAACATTACCTCATGAATGAGAGGTAAGTAAGCAATTACACAATGCCTTGGGTATACTAGCTGCTCAATTAATATCTGAACAAATGGATAGTGATTATGCCTAGAGAGAAGAGGAAAAGGAAGTGACATTATTTCAGATCAAGGTATCTGCACATCACGCCAACAGTGAAGTGGCTGCAGCTCTGTCGCTGGATCTGTCTACAATTCCTGATGTATATACAACACCAGGACTTACCTGAGCAAAGATCAATGATAGCAACAAGTATGTTTTCCACATTAAATGAAGGTCACAACATTTAACTGTAGACAGATTATTAATCTTATGGCACACAAAGAAACATCTCATTCTCACAATTTCTAGGTGATAACTCAAGTGACCTTTGTTGTGCTTGTTAAATTCATCACTACTAAAGAGAACAGCTATCCTATTCTAAAAATACTCAGTTGACCTGTTAATTTTCCTGCGCCAGGTTTCAGATATGGAATGTTAGGATTTTAAGACTCCAACTGGTTATCTAGTGGTACTTAAACTATGGTATCGAGTAGACCTAACAAAAGCTGTGAAGCAACGATTTTCATAGAAAAGGACAGTGAGAAGATGTGAGCTAGGAGTTCTATGTGAACCCAAAAATACCAAGTATCACATTCTACAAACAAACATAGTGAGGTAGCTCTGAAGTACACCATATCACGAAGGGGGAGTTTACTATTACTCTCAAAAGTCAAACAAGCAGAACCAAACAGACAGGTCTAATATTTAAAAGAACATTAACGCAGAGACAAGGTGAAGTCTATTTTAGAATTTACTAATGGCAATGAGAAAATCCTTTGAATTAGAACCCTAGTATTTTCTCCATCTAAAATCAGGAGTTTCAATGCTGTCTTACCGCCCCCAAATGCCTCCCCCAGGTGAACATTTCGTTCTACACTGTAGTAAGAACTCAGCTGTGCACATATCAATCGGCAAACCATAGCAGTATAACCTTTACTCCATTAGGGTTACTTGAAGAAAAATGTGATCCAACAAGAAGAAACCAACACTGATCATTTACATTTTAACATCAAAATGACAAGACAAAGCTATATAACTAAACTAGAAACCTGGCTTTCTATCCCTCTAGTATTTCTGATTCTAAACAACAAAAATTCAATACCTATTTTGGAAATTCTAACCAAAAAAAACAGCTGAAAAGAATAAAATTAAAAATAAAACGGTAACTTTGACTAATTCAACAACTTATTTTTTAATTTCCTCCAACTGGACACTACTTTATGCTATGCAGAGAAAGAAAAGAAATACCTGAAGCCCCAAGTACTGGTGCCGGTTGATGAGTGCAAAGCACAGGAATATTGCCTAAAGAAAGGTAACTGAGTAAAAGACACTAACTAACGGCAAGATGTTTGGGTCTGGTACATCTGGCGAGAAGATGGCAACTTACTTGAAGTACAGCTCTTTGAAGGTGAAGTGCGTTTCCACGATGCCTGTGGTCTTCACTCTTGTCCTCAGCACATCTTGCTGAGTTGGAATGTAGTTGGTTTGGGATATTCTGTCCAAATCATTTAGGTAGCTAAATAAAACATAAATGTATCTTTACTAGGTGAAGCACACGGTATGCACAGCAAGTCAGCAGACTGAACTAGTCCACTAGTTCCTTGCCAAAAGCAGATTCTGAACTTGCCAATAAATAACTTCAGTATCATGTAAGAGATGAGGAACACATGTGAATCCATCACAGGACGATTAGATTCTATGTGCACTGTACAAAACAGCTTTAGTTATAATACAGAATTAAACTGTGAAGGCCAAAATTAAAAACAACAACACAGTGTCATTCTTATTAAAGGAAAGATTCCCGATTATTAACTAACTACTGTGTGTACCACACAGTACAAAAACCAAACTAAATCAAAAGCCCTCAGACACTCAAGTAATGTAATTATCAAAATATCACTCTACTGGTAAATTAAATCCTTCAAAATTTCAGAGTTTCAAAAGATTTTTTGGCCAAAAAACTAGAAATTAGGTGGCACCATTACAAGTGAATCATTAATGATCTTCTATAAAAATACTATCATTAATAATACTAAGGAACCAGTCAAGTTTAGATAAACAATTATGGGAGGGAAAAACCTCTACAAATCAGATGTACAGGGAAAATTCCTGAAACTACCAAAATTTGCAACTAAAAAATATTAAAAGCAAGAATTCTAAAACATTTCAAAAGTCTTGTTTTCACTTAAAGAATAAATAACCTTTCAATATTGAATTTCTTACTACAATTTAGGCTTGAATGAAGATAGGAAAACCAGAAAAATACAATATTCGAGAAATAACCTTAATGCTACAAATGCCTTCACATATCCCAAGGGTAAGGTAATAAAAACTTCACAAATGTCCCCAAACATTAAAAAATAAGCAAACATGTAAAAGAACTAAAACAGGAAAAAAATTATTAAATCTAATTAATGATTAATGATTATTAAATCAAAGAAGCATGAGTTAGATTCTTTAAAACTATGTAACACTCTCAAGAATTTTCTTGACAAACAGAGGCCCCAACTTCATTCTGAGACTCAACTCCCCTTATACAAAGTCTATTACTGTGATCTGGCAAAAGATTCTAAGTGGTGACTAGCACCAGAGAAATCAACCCACAGTGCAAGGCAGCCACAGAGCTGGGCGCATAAAAAGGGCTATCACAGCTCTATTTCCCTCACTACTTGGCAATCAATGCAAAGCTTTTATGCAGAAGGAACTTACTGAGTTGGAAGAAATTCAGGACCCAGCTGCAATAGATAGCGCTTTCTTTCACTCGCTTATCACAGGCTGCCAAAGGCTGTATGGTGCCAGTCCATCCCATTTACATTCAAGAGGAAACATTTTTCTCTGAGTCATACAAAGGGACCAACGGCTCTACACACGCTGATGTTCGGAGACTATAGTTAGAAGGCACCTTGGCGATTTTTCCTTAAAGATGGGCACTGGACTTTTTCAAGTCACCAAATTATGTTATTAGTTTCACAGAGAAAATTACTTACTATGAAGCAGAATCATTAAGCTGATATTCCCTGGATCTGCTGAAGCAAGCTTGCACCCCACCATCTCGCCACAATCGTTTAATCACGCCTGCTAGCTCCGGAGTCATGATTCCTTCCTCAGCACTGCCGGCTAGAACAAACAACTGCCGGGCGTCATCCTGAGAAAGGAGGTCAGAGAGAAAGAGAGAGATGGTTCTCTGTTTCTTAAGGGCTTGACCACACACACATGCATTACAGGTTGTATTATTTTAAGGGAGGTCTCAGGGAGGCCTTTCCCGGCTGGGCAGACTGAGACAAACACACAGGGAGTCTCTCCTCTTCCTCACCCCACTGCAGAAGCAGCGCAAGACTGGGCTAAAGAATCATTTTATCCCCCACAACTTCTCCACACAACATCATCCCCTGAAAAGACTTCATCTGACTAGCCTATAAAGCTCCATCTCAAGATTTTTTGAAAAACAAAATAAAAACTGGTGAAAGAGGCACATATAACAAATTTTCATTCTGTTAAAAGCAGACAATAAAAACAGATATGAAAAGCCCAGACCATACGAAGTAGAGCCTAAATACATCAAAGAGAGTTTAAAAACAACAACAAAACATTAAGTTTAAGAAACTGTTCTCTTGAACCATTCAAATCACATAGAAGAACAGAAGAGGAGAAGGCTGAGGCAGCCTGGTTGGGGGAAATAAAAGCCTTAGGGAACAAACTCCGACGGCATTTAACTACCCACAAAGGACTAATAAAGTTCCAGATAAGAGAGGAGGAAAGGGCACAAGGAACAAGTAACAAAAAGAGATCTGACCAAAGCTTTGTGTTATAGACACAGCCCTAGCAGCAGTTTTAGTTTTTAAACCTAAAACATGTCAGAGGCAGAGGCGGAGAGGAAAAGGGCTATGAGAAATGTGATTTTTTGTTTGTTTTATTGTGTGCAGCCCTCGACAGACAGTGTCATAATAAACACAGGACTCGTGGGCTGATTCCACACCCCGAATCTACTATTTATCTGTCTCAAGTCACTTTCAAATAATTATGACAATCAGTTAATGGGGGCAAAAAAAAGCACACACAAGGACAAAATGAACCAGCAACTCAAACCACAGGAGGAACCACAACTAACCATCACCTAAGAGTTGTGTATTCCCAACACCTGAACACCAAACCGAGCAAAACAAAACTAACCAGAGTCACCACTCATGTTTCCAACATCGAGGTGTCAGTCTCAGTAGCCTTTTGCTTAGTAATATTTTTCCTGTAAAAGCCTTCCCTGTATTCTTTCTAGTAATCTGAGTCCTAACCCTCTATAAGAAACTTCATCTAACATCTATATTCCCCTTCTCTCTTTTCAAAGATGCACATTTTAAATAAAGGAAGTAATGATTGAGAAAAGTTCACATCTGAAGATGTTATACTCCCTTGGCTCTGAAATCTGCCATATACCCATGCAGATATCCAAAAACTCAGTCAACATTACTCTTTTTTTGAATGTAGATTCGATTTTAACAAATTTCAAAATCCAGAGAACTATTACATGTTTTTGCTGTCATGACTTTGTAAGCATTACTTTAGAAGGAAATACTCTTCCCTCACCACTTAATTTCTTCCACTGACCTAATTCTGCTTCCTCACAATAAACCATTGTTATAGATCCATAGAGGTCCCTCTTTCTAATGAACTTCTAACCTCCACTCTTACAGTTATAAGGAAAAAGCAACCTATCCCACTCTAGCTCTGTTCTCTTCTGTGCTCTAAGTAACCACAAAAGACTAGAAAAGGATAAGGGAGGTGTTATATATAAAAACACATAAATCCTTACCTATGAAGGGGAAAGAGAAACATCAAAAAAAAATTATACAACTGTAGATTAGTAGATGGGTGGATACTGGAAAGCTATGTGACTCAAGAGACCAAGAAGAATTAATGATGTCAGCTGTTATCAGGTGAAACAGGCATGTCAGACTTATGACCACTGATTTGATTAAAAAAAATAGAAATGAAAGGAAGAGGAGTACCATGGCCTGAAAGTTCATGTTCTCCCCAAAATCCTCAAGGCAAGCTCCTTAATTCCCACTGTGAAGTACTAGGAGGTAGGGTACTTTGGCAGGTGTCCAGGTCATTAGGCCGGAGCCCTCATGAACAGACTACTGCCTTTGTAAAGAGACCCCAGCAGTTCCTTCCCCTTCCATGATGGGAGGACACAGCGAGAAGTCTACAACCTAGACAAGGGCACCCACACCACCATAAGCAGGGCACCTGATCTCGGAGTGCCAGCCTCCAGGCTGTGAGAAATAAATTCCTGTGCTTGCGAACTACCAAGTGAGTGCTGTTTTGTTATAGCAGCCCAAACAGACTGAGACTGAAGTTATCAGCTCCGTCTGATGAAAGGAGAATTAGGACCCAAAATTAGTAATAGTAATAATAAAGGAAATGAGAGAGAATGATCAAGAGATATGAAAATGAGTCAGAGGGTGAGAAATAAAAAAAGGAAAACTAAGAAGTCAATTAACTGAGGTAGAGGGCACAACCCAAAGTAATACAAGAGGCAAGAGAAGAGACTGAAAGGAGCAAAACAAAAATAAAGACTTCAATTGTGCCACGAGGGCCCTCTTCTCCAAACATTTTGCAGTCCTGTCTCTCGCTCCCTTTTCCTTAATCCACTTCTAAGTGTTCCTCCTCTAATACCATCCAACCATAACCATGCTCTTAATAGTTTACCCTTCAACAATTTCCCACTTAAATGTTGAATACTAGCTCATACCTGTAAGTGTGCTTCACAGACAGGTAGACTTTGCCCAACAAACACGCAGTCACCCCATGTCACCTTCATTTTATTGTCCACAGCATCTAAACATAACTGATAACTCACCTAAGTTCTAAGAGATCACTCTTGACATTCCCAGTCCTCTCTGAGCATTTAGCTGATTATGATATAAAGGATTCCCTGCTCTCCCCACTGTGCTAAACATCCTTATTTACAAACCAGACTAGTGCCCACTAAGTACCAGAATTATCCAACACAACTTCTGAGTAGCTGACACGTGCAAGAATTAGGCCAGGACACGATATAATCCAATACAGGGATAGAGAATTCTTGCATACCTGGAAACTGCCACTAAAACTTAGACTTATGTTCGTATGTTCTTGTCCTAACTAAATTATTCTGGGAGACTGATTTTTGCCTTTAATCTCTAAACCTCAGAAAGCAGAGCTACATATCAAACCTTTCTTTTAGATTATTTTAATGTTACCATTTTCTTACAGAATGAAAGACAACGATGCTGTAAAAAATGCAGGTGAATATAGAACAATCATCACAGAAACCAACAGGAGACTCACAGAACCCCATTTCCTAGAGACTCCTCTGTTGGGGAATCTAGCATCTCTGAAAGCAGACTGCAAACATTTCTCAAATGAATATAGTACTTTGCTGCATCTTCTCTTGTTACTTACATGCATTTTCCTAAAACAGGAAGCAAATTTTGCTGAGCTGCGGCTACCAAAAGAGAGCAAGGGAAGAGAAAAGGAGAACCACTTACTGCTCTGGCAGCTTCCCCAAAGTCGATCTTCAGGCGTCCCATGGCTCTGATGATGGCGATGATGGACTGGATAGTATTGCTATAGACAACGACTTTATACTGTTTACATTCTTCCTCTGAATAGCCATCCTCGTGAATGATTCTTTAAAAAAAAAAATCATAAATCATTACCATGGACTTAAAATGAAAAGATACTATGGACTTTTAAGCCTGAGGGAATGTCCTACAAAGGCCTTGTTCCAACTTACTTCATCTGTTTCACGATGGTGCTTTTACCAGATTCTCCAGCACCTGAAAAGAAGAAAAAAAGACTTTGAATTTACCTGTAATCAAACACAAAATAGGAAATCAACATAAGTGATGATTCTATTAATTTATGGAAACCACAGATCTTAGGGGAAAACTTGGTGAGGCTTTCTACCAAAAAAAAAATTGTTTTGCACATTTCCCTTAAGAGTATTTCACTTTCTTTACCTAACTTGGCCACCAAATAGTCTATTAGAAGTGTCCTAGGGTTATTTTGTTATCATTTGAGTAAAGCAAACACCCTCAAGGAGATACAGCAGCAAAACACCTCAGGAATCATCATCTACATGAAAACCTGAAAATGAAAGCACTCACAGAATGACCTATTTTCCCACTGCCAAATCCAATAACAGCACCTCCATATTTTCCACCCTCATTATGGATGGCCGGTCTCTGCCAATGAGGAAGACTGACACCCCCCCAAAGTAAACAAACAAGCATACTTATCCACCTCAGTTTACCTACTCAAATGCTACAACCGCCCCATGTCAGTCAAAATCAAGTTTTCTCCCACTGGAGGAGAAAGTCTGCACATCGCTGTGCCCACTGACTGTACCAGCTCCCATCCAGTAATCGATAAGCAGCCACTACTCCCACATGTCCCAGTTGCCACATATATTCCTCCAGCTCCATTCCGACAGTTCCTCTTTATAGCAAAACTCCTCTGGTTGTCTATGCGCATGTCCTCCAATTCTGTGCCTCTCTTCTCTCCTTTTCCCAGCCCATTAGGCTTTCAAACACATTCTACTCTGGTCAAGTCACTTTTCAAGATGTCCAACAACTTTTATCTTAACAAACCCAAGGATCAAGTAAGTCTCAGTCCTCCTCCTACTTGATCTCTCAAGCAAAATTTGTCCAAATTGATGGCTTTTCCCTTGAAATATTGTCTTCAATATCTAGGCTTCTAGAGGGTGTATATACTTCTAGTTTGACTTTTTTTTTTAAAAAAGAAATTCTTTTTTTAAGATTTATTTCTTTATGCATACAAGAATTAGAGTACAGGGGTGAGAGGATTCACCAGAGACATAGTGGGGAACAGAACAAGCAGACTGACAGAAACACACTGCTGAGGGGAGCAGTGGGTGAGACAGGAGAGGGCTGCTGTGACATGTGGGTCACTTCCAAGGCCGGGGACCAAAGTGGTGGCTGTGGATAGCTTCACAGTGCTGGGACTTAACCCATTACGCCAACAGGGAGGGCCCTCCGGGTGTGACTTCTATCCCTCCACTCAGTCTCCTGCATCCTGTCTCTAATTCTAAATGTTGTGTTGCTTCAGGGTTCCTTCCTTGGTCCTTTTCTCTATCTACACTCATTCTCTATGTTATCTCTTCGAGTCTAGTAGTTTAAAATACCACTCATAACCGATAATAACAGTCATTAACACCACTGAGTCTTGACTGGTCTGAGCACTCTGTTTATATAAAATTAAATTATAGTAACTTATATGGACTCTTTTAATCCTTACAACAACCCTATTATTATGTCCATTTTAAAGATGAGGTAAGTGGAACAGAAGTCAAAGTAACATTCACAATTACACAAAATGAAATTTGCATGAACAAAGTTGATACAGAAGGGGGAAAATGTTGGTTTATACTGTCTTCTGTGCTAATGATATCCAAATGGCTTCTAACTTTGGTTCCAGCCTCCTAGCTTGTGGCTAACTCTGCAGGACCTCAAGAGCACCTGTCCACCCTGGCTAATGTTGTGCATGGGTGAGCACACTCCCCAGTAAGGCCAACAAACAAGTCAGCAGAGCACAGTGCACTCTGTCCTGCAAATAGCTGCACCCCACTACTTTGTATCTAGTAGAAGTTACAAGAAGCCCCAGGTCCGGTACAAACATGCACCCCACCCTTTGCGTCTGGCACATTTCCTGGGCACATTTCCTGTTTTTCCCTGCACCTACAGACCCTATATATACCCATGGGCAGTCCTAATAAACAGACTTCAGACCCCAGGCTCCTGCTTCAGTTTTTCTGTCTCTGAGTCTCCTACATTCAGGTGATAACAAACATAGCAGTCACTATTTCTAAATCACCTATTTTACATAGTTCACTAAATTTCTAGTAGGTACCTCAAACTTAAAATGCCCAAAACTGAGTTACTGCTTCCTTCCCTCAAACCCAAACAAACCCTGCTCTATCACACTTTCTCATCTCAATAAATGGCATCTACATAGATCCAGTTACTTAAAATTGATTAACTGACATGTAACT